CAAAGTTTCCTCGTTTCTTGGTTTTGTTTTTGTTACATCACTCGATAACTGATATTGGTTCATTGTGAAATTGCCCTCCAATAATAATAACAATGCATTTTCATCAGTAAGTTGAACAACAGACTCCCATTTTGTTTTAAATGACTTTCTGTACTCCATAGCTCTAGTTGGTGTACTGGATTGGAGTTCTGTCACAACTGCAGAAGCATCTGCATTGTTTTCCTTCCTGAGATCCATCTGAGCAGTATACATTTGTTCTGAAGCACTTACGGTTACAGTACTGAGGTACTGTACTTTGTATACCGAGCTACTTCATATTTCTTTTACCAAAAAAAGTGTTTTATTAAAGGCGTAGACACCAGACATAAATAACTTGGGAGCTGACAAAATGGTCGGCAGTTAAAAAACTCTTTCCAATTTCCACATGAAAAAAAAAACAAAATATTTGCTGCAAATAGGTTAAGCTCATCTTAAGCATAAGCATATACTCAAGACTATGTCGGCTTAAAATAAAAATGGCAAATTATCAATATCGTAAGTTTCTTTCAACAAAATGGAATACTTCGTTTGAGTATTTCAAATTTTTTAAACAAAAATGTACGTAATTCAAATTAAATATACATCCGCTTCACTTTTTTTCAAATTCTAGATATTTATATAGCAACTTAAATTGAGCATTCACCGATTCGTTTTAAAAGTATAAAGTTATTCTATTTAAATGAGCATAATTTTATATTGAAATTTTTGTTATGTTTAGTTGCTTAAAATCAAGGACCAATATCAATTATCCAAGTTTTATATTGAAAGGGTGTTAATTTTATTTATGTAATTTTTTCTATAATTTTGCTTAGACCATTCTACCAATTAAAACCTTATATTCTGGGAGATAGGAAAATACAAAATATAAACAGTTTTCGGCTTATTTTTTCACTAAAACCTGTTATTTATTGACCACTGATTTTTGGTAAATTTTAACAAATAAAGGTAAAGAAATACTTTTTAAAATAGACTTTTTAGGAGGTGGTACTAAAGATACATTAATAATTATGGCAAAAATAAAGGTCTATTGTTGTAAAGGGCCAGTGATAAATAACACATTTTATTAAAAAGGTCTGCCGAAGCAAATATTTACATTATTTGCATTAATTTTATCTATCCAAAACTAGTATTTCTATTGTATTACTTATATACAGAGAATCTGACTTCTAAATAACTATTTTAAAACAACTTCAATTCAATTTTTTTTAAATCTCTCAAATGAAAAAGCGAAGAAGGGTATTAGAAAAGATTTTTCTCTGTCAGCGTTTGGTTGTCTGCTTCTCAGAAAAAAAAACAAATGCATGAACATATTAATGGCTGCTACCTAACATAAAGAATTACAAATAACCTAAACAAAATTATGCCAAATATTCTTTCCTAGCCTTAAATACATTAAAAGTATAAACAAAAGCAACTACTTCAACACTGTGTCGTGACATTTGTTGGTCTCTATCTAGTTTTGTAAAAATTAAAGTACTCATATAGCACATACCAAATTTTGATAGTGTATTCAAAAACCGATATATAGTGCATAGTAATAATTTCCATTATTATTCAGTCTGCGCAAATTTCTCAAAATTTGGATGTGGCCCCGAACATTCGGATGTGGTTGGGAAAAATCTCTACTCCCTATAACATACTTAAAAGATGTAGGTAGTTAATATAGTAATAATGGTATTTTAAATAGATTCCTTTCAACACTTTTATAACCTACTCTGAAGGTCCCTAACTTTTCAATGAGTCTTCTATATTTATTGTTCTACAACCCTTAACACTTTACAACGATAAAAACTGAAACTGCACTGAGAGTTTGTATGAGCAATCGTTACTCCGACCAAACGGTACTGTACGATTATATTCTCTAATTTAAAGTATATTTTAAAAGGATTTACATCAATAATATCATAATTTAAAACCTGAAGATTAGTTGAATTTGCTTCAGTTGGGGTCTAATTCTAACTTCGTTTCCAATGAATCAAGGTATGGTAATTCCATAAAATCAATATTTCAATTGTGCAGTCAACTCTGCATCAAGCTGCACCTCGACCCTGCCTAGGATTCCGTCGAATGGCATATGCAATGAGAGTGTAGAAAAACCAAGTTATATCAAATACCTAGCGAAATTCTACAATTATTTAAAAGCTTTTGCAAAAATAACAAATAACACATTTTATTAAAAAGGTATGCCGAACCAAATATTTTATCTATCCAAAACTAGTATTCCTATTATTATATTCCATTAATTATATACAGAGAAATTTTGTAATTCAGAATATATACCAATCTCGAAAATGGAAAAGCGAAGAAAGGTTTTCAAAAAGATTTTTTTCAGTTAGTTAGGTTATCTGGTTCTCCTTATAGCATATTCTTACAAAAAATGAAGTTTAACACTTTCTTATTAATAAATGATATGAAATTCTTAAAAATTTGTTCAGTTTTAAGAAGTGCCTGAACATGTTAATTGCTGCTACCTAAAATAAAGAACTACACATAATCTATACAAAATTGTAGCACATATTCTTTCGTTTTAAATACATTAAAAGTGTAAATAACACTGTCATGACATTTTTTGGTCTGTATCTAGTTTTGTAAAAAAAGAAGTATTTATATACTACATACCAAATTTTGGTTAGTTTTCCAAAAATTCTTTATCTCGATAAACACTGCTCCGACATCGTGTCTTATCGGAACTTATGGGTAAATTGTTTTTCGAAAGTGATCTGGATCCATCCGCATTTGAGGGGTACTTTCAACCACTCAAATTGGATTGTCTCTACCACATCGCAGGAATTTGTTTTCCAACAATAAATTTGTATTTTCCGAAAGGTAACACTTTCGTAATAAATAGATGATGCAATCCCAGAAGTATAATTTGTAATTTAATAATAAAAATTTGAAACATCTTAAAACAAGACTCTTTACTACATTAAAAAATATATCTTGAGAATATATTTATTTTTCAAGCATGGAAGAAAAATGTTTAAAGTATACGTAATCTACAATTCAGAATTTGCTTTTTCCTGTGCATATCTCTAAAAAAACTCCCTTTATTGGTATTTGTTATTGGTATTTAAGGGGGGCGCCCTCCGCGGGCGTCCAAGCACTTAGGCCACCAGATGGGCCCGTTGTGCCCCCAGACCTCGCTAGAGGGCGTCCGGAATGCCGCTTCTACTTTAGCCCAATACCATGCACTGAGTCCGGATCGATCAGGGCCGTTCCGAAGACTCTAAATCTTGCCCATGGCAAAGCAGGGCACTCGTGAGCAGATGATACAACGCCTCCTCCCCTACCATGCACTATCTGCACTGCGGGTCGTTTCCAATGCCTAGCAATCAAAGATGCGTCCTAAGCCTGCAGTGTCCTGTGCAGGCCCCTGTTAGTCCTCTACACCCCCTTCTGGGCAGTCCAAGCAGCTCCCTGGTCCGAGGGAGGGTCGTAAAACGTCTTAAAACAAGACTCTTTACTGCATATCTTGACAATACATTTACTTCTCAAGCATTAATTTAAGTCGAGTAAAAAAATATTGCAGGTATGGTCTGTTCATAGACAAAAGCAAGTGACCAATTGCTTTTGAATGGGATTATCCAAGGGTGGTCATTAACATACAATGCAACAAGATTATTACCTAAAGTTTCGGAATTTAAATTCAGGTAAAATTGTGGTCCATAATAGAAAATAATTTTATACATACCTGTGTTTAATATTCTTTTGTTTAGTATACTACTTAGTTTAAGTTTATTAGTAATCATTCTTATTTCGTGTGTAATACAGCGTGTGTTGAATCGCGTGCGAATTATGCAAAATATGTGCGAGTCTAGTGTAGTTCAGAAAATGCTCCCGCCCAAATGTAGGAAACACTATTCTATTCAGGCTAAGGAAGTTATAAACAATGTTTATATAGCATCTTTAGAAGAAACCGCTACATTGACGAAAATTCCAACATCAACTGTATGGAAAATTGTGAATAATCCCATCAGCGAGGAAAAAAAGAAGCGATGCTGACATTTTCTAGAGTGCAGATGAAAGTGATCAAAATATAATACGGCGTAAAATTTATGAGGAGCAAAGCCTGCCTACATTAGATATCTTAATTAGGAGGCTTGAAAAAGATGAAACCGGTGTGGAAGTGTATTCAACACATGGGTTTTAGATTTAAAAAAATTGACAAAAGGCAAGTTTTAATGGAATCTTTTAGAATTCGGAAATGGCGACTTGAAGAAAAGATTAGGATTTACAGAGAACAACAAAGGCCAATTATTTACTTGGATGAAACCTGGTTCGACGCTAATGATACTGAATGATTTATTTTCACGAAGGTTATACCAAAAAGCAATTAATTGAGGTGCTACAAAGCTTGAACCTGCAAAAGGAATACGTCTGTGATAATTGTGCAAAAAATCTAGGGCATACAGTTTTATACAGTTACACCTTACCACTGTATATTTAATCCCATTGAACATGTTCGGCACCAACTGAAATCTGCCATTCGTCGTAACAATGTTTTTCCCCGTGTCCAATGTCCTCAAACTTATGGAAACCGAAGTTTTAAACATTCCTCCACAAAGTTGGGCAAATTCTGTTAAACATATAGAAAAAGAAAAACAATCGTATATACATATTGCAAATAATATAGAACAACTAATAATTAGAACAGGCGATGATAGCGATAGTGATACTAATATATTATGTGAATAATTTTAAGTAATTTAAGCAGGTAATAAAAATAATTTGCAATTTTTTTTAGATTTAAACTTAAATACATACATAAATAAATAAATATTGTTAAGTATTTTTCCAAACAAAACTCCAAATAATTAAATTCTAAGCCATATTTCATTCTTACAGCTTGCCCGGGTCTTTCCTTAATTCATATCAGTTAGTCACTTTCTTATATGTATGAACAGACTTTATACTACAATTCAGAATTTGCTTTTTCCTTTACTTTACGTTTTGGTTTTCAGGTTCGCCGCTGGCGAACCGACGTCGCAAACGCACAATTCGCGAGTCTTCAGACGAAGACACGTCGGCCCCTTCCCCTTCGGACGGACTCTTCGGAGTTCGCGAGTCGTCGGCCGAAGCACTCCAGTGCATGCACCAGAACCAGCAGCGACACACCTCGACGACGACGGCGGCCAACCAAACCGAGTGCCATTCTCCGTGCCGAACTTGCGGCGGCTCGTCAGCGGCACAGTTTATTCCGATACCGGTGCCGGTACCCATACCGTTCCCGGTACCCTGGGGTTCCGTGTCCGGTGACTCATCGAACCCGATGGTACTCTACAAGCAGTTGCACCAGAAACAGAACCTTTGGCAGTATTTCGCGCAGCACGCGTCTAACTTGGTGTATCCGGCGGCACCCGCGCAGAACCCGATGATCGGCGGTGAGGACGATGGCGGCGATGGGAGTAAGGAGACGGGTGAGGCGGAGGCGGAGGAGGAACAGGAGGCGGAGCCGGCGGGTCATTTGGAATCCGAAAACAGGTAAATTTTAACTGCGAGTACATGGTTTCACAAAAACACCATTTGCCTTGCTATCTTGTCGGCACTCGCACTTTTTTTATTTAAATTCTTCAATTTTTTTTTGGTCCCAATTTTCAAGGTTTCATTAATAGAGAACGTGAAGAAAGTAGTTACTGGAATGCAAAACAGTAGATCCAGTTTCTTCTACACATATTTTCGTCGCTGTTTAATATATGTAGTCCAGCCAAGCCTACATGGTGTTGTTGCATTAAATCTGGAGTGAAATGCAAAAACAACAAACTAACCACGTGCTAAACCGGCACCAAATTTTCTGTGGTTTTTCATTTTCGGCATACTATAAATGAAAGGTGTTTGCACTTTTATAAAATAATTAAAAAACTGAATATATTTTTTAAATCATGTAATAATTTCTTTCATAAAATAAACATTTTTCAAAATTGTGTACTGTGCCTCAATTCATTTTTTAACTCAGTTTTTTTCAAAAATATCTCCTGGACGTTTTTGCTGCTGTACTAATGTTTTTGTTTGCAAAAATTAAAATGAGTGAGCTGAAAAAAATTAAAAATAAAATATTCAGTTTTTTCTATAACTAGGCCACTGGCTAAGGTTTTCTCTGTTACACTATTGTATGGTTTAGTTACGTTTGGTTATTTCGTTTGCCCCCCCCCCCCCGACCCGACCGTAAAATTTTCATTCAATGCTAGAAGTTTTCAGAAATTACAAAAAAAATACGCCAAAAAAAGTTTGCCATATATAATAATGAAACTTATAATAACAATATGTATCTCAAAATTTAATTACAATCATTTTAAGTAACCATAAAACGCCAACATTTACACTAAAATCGCTAGTGGTTTGGCATAAAGTGTCTCTTTTGGTTTTATATTACCTAGATAATAATAAAAACCAACAAAATCAACCCTAACAAAAGAAAATTGATCAATATTCAATGGCAACCTGTTGAGATTAGTGAATAATTTGACAATTCCTATATAGAAGACAACATTCATCTTAATTTTTCAAAGAAACTTCCACAGGCTACTGTAATGCATTTTACTTCTGGATTTCTCCTGCGTTGGTTGTTTATAAATCAAACTTTCTGACGTTTTGCCAACTGAAACGGTTTCAGTTAAGCTATGAAGAATCCAACAGGATGATTGGCGAAACGTTAGCGAGTCTGATTTATACTTTTTCTTTAAAAATAAATTAAATTTTCGGATCCCAATTTTTAATATACAGTTTGTAGAAAAAAAGCAAGACTGTAGATCTAAAGAGTTTGTTTCTACGGAAATTTTCGTCGCTATTTAATATCTAATATACCCGAGCTTATTTGGGTAATTTATTGTTGATGCGTGCTAAACCGCCACCAAATTTTGTGAGAGTTTCCATTTTCGGCATACAATAAGAAAAAGGTTAAAATAACACAATACAAAATACATTTTTAAACCCATTTTCAAATCATTGGAACAAAATTTGCTTTGTGTCGACGCTTTTATTTAAAATTGAAATGCTGAAAAGAAAATGTTGAATACTATACTTTTATTGATATAAAATATTCATTTTTTTATAACTACCCCACATGTAAAGTTTCTGCTCTCCGCGGGTCGCAAATTTAAAGGGGAGAAAAATCCTTTTGTTTCTCAAAAAAAAACTGCGTAAAGTTTTTCAAGAGAAAATTTTTTCATGACCAATTTCAAACATCAGGAAGCTTAACTTTGACCTCTTTGCTAAATAGAACCAACATAATTAAACTACTTTTAAGGAAGTGGCCTCAAAGCTCTAGAGCAACGCGTTCTTTTAAGATTTATCTCAGTTACTTCAGAAGAGAAAATTAACTTTGGTATAATATTTACCAACGAATAAAATTTCTTATAATAAAAATGTCAGAATTTAATTAAGATCATTTTAAATAACTATAAAACGCGAACGTCTTATAAAAAACAAAGTGACGGAAAATGATGCGCTCCGCGGCGGCGTTTAAACCTCTAAAGCTCCTTTGAAGGGCACGGTTCAATTTACTAAGAGAACTTAATTAGGTCTTATATTTAAACTAGCATCGAACGAAGCTTAATTAAAAAAATATAATGAAACCAGAACGTAATAAAATAGGAAATCTGCAAAACAAAATAAAACAGGCCCATTTACATCGATAAGTCACGTTCCATGGGCGTGCAAATGGGTTTTCTGCACGGCTCGTTGTTTTTATCGGTAACCGGGAAACTTGAATAACGAAAATTTAAAAGTCGGTCTCGTTGATTATCAGCCAAATTTATGACCATAGAGTTTAAAGAAATATACCTGGTGTGATTCTATGTTTCACTGTATCTAAAAGCGTGATAATCAACACTGTCAGTGTCTTGCGCCTTTCTGAATTTTAAAAAACAGGTTAAAATTCGTTTAATTTCGCTTTTTATGTATTTTTTGTTCTTTTTGCAATTCCTCGACGCGCATTCTTCACACATTTAAAAATATTTAAGCCTTAAACTGACATTGAAAATTTAAATGAAAAAATTGTTAAAAGTTTGTTTATTATTTTATTTTATTCAGCAATATAATAGAGGGGGACTTTGTATACCAGAGGTTGTAGATTTGGAAATATTTAAAATAAAACCAATCGAATAGTACGGAAATGTATAATTTAGTGCCGCATCATCATGTTCGGTATTTATAAGGGGTGTTTTTTTTTCGATGTATAGAACTTTAAGTTGCAATAAAACAACGATGGATTATTCGATTGACATGAATTTTATTTATCCGAAAGACAATCTTTGGGCCATTATATTTTAAATATGATTTCTGGCATATGACCGCCACGGCTGGCGCGGATGTAGTCCATCCTGGACGTCCAATTTTCGATGACTTTTTCCAACATTTGTGGCCGTATATCGGCAATAACACGGCGAATGTTGTCTTCCAAATGGTCAAGCGTTTGTGGCTTATCAGCATAGACCAATGACTTTACATAGCCCCACAGAAAGTAGTCTAGCGGTGTTAAATCACAAGATCTTGGAGGCCAATTCACAGGTCCAAAACGTGAAATTAGGCGGTCACCAAACCTGTCTTTCAATAAATCGATTGTGGCACGAGCTGTGTGACATATTGCGCCGTCTTGTTGAAACCGCATCTCCTGGACATCATGGTTATTCAATTCAGGAATGAAAGAGTTAGTAATCATAGCTCTATACCGATCATCATTGACTGTAATGTTCCGGTCGTCATCGTTTTTGAAGAAGTACGGACCAATGATTCCACCAGCCCATAAAGCGCACCAAACAGTCAGTTTTTCTGGATGTAACGGTGTTTCGTCATAAACTTGAGGATTAGCTTCGCTCCAAATGCGGCAGTTTTGTTTGTTGACGTAGCCATTCAACCAGTAGTGCGCTTCATCGCTAAACAAAATTCACTTATGAAAATCGGGAACAACGGCCATCTCGTTTTGGGCCCATTCGACGAATCTACGCCTTACTTGATGATCATTTGGCTTCAATTCTTGCACGAGTTGGATTTTGCAAGCACGTAAACCAAGATCCTTCCGCAAAATCTTCCATAAAGTGGATGGACACAGATCCAATTCCTGTGCTCGATGGCGGATGGACTCATTCGGGTCTACCTCAATGCTACGCTCTACAGCAGCAATAGCTTCTTCTGTACGCACCGTACTGCGTCTCTGGGGATGCGAGTTATCAATAAGAGTAAACTTGGTAATGATGGACGATTTTGTCGACAATTAAATGGACGTAGTGCGCGATACGTATTCCGAACAGAACCATTATTTTCGAAATAAAATTGCACTATTTGCAAGCGTTGTTCAGGCGTGAGTCTATTCATGATGAATTGCCAAACCAAACTGAGAATAAATCACTTGACAGCTGTTAAATCGGTCGCCATCTTGAACAGTAATGCCAATTTAAAGTTCTATACATCGAAAAAAACACCCATTATTACTAACTCATGTGTATATTGCATTATTGTTGAAAAAAATATCCAGATATACAAAAACCGCCAAACAGATATAAACAGATAAACAGAAAAAAAAAGTATGACCACGGGATCATTTGTTTATTGACTATTAATTTGTAATTAACAACGAAAACAATTTTTTATGGTTAATTCTTCAGCTTAGTAAAGTAAGCGCACACAATTATTGCAATACTGACTTTCCTTAAGGAAATTAACTCCATCTTGGATTCAGTGCCGCATTCATTTGTCGTAATTGGCTTTTGTTTGTATAAAATACCGGGTACTCCATAAAAAATAGTCCATAGGACTCAAGACTGAACTCCTGAGTTGTCACTCAAGTCTGCAGTACAAATCGAGACAAATAATTGCTAATTTCTTGACACCTACGGTAATGAGAGTCCTAATAAATATTGCAATTCTCTTCATGACACTTGGTTCTCAATGAGCTGTTGGAAGTCACTGCTTAAAAGTAAAAAACATCTTAGGGAAATTACATTTTCTTTATAAAATTGTGGTTCCATTATTCTGACCAGCAACCATTTACCGATGCTCTTCCTTGTGTTTTCGATTTGGGATCCAGGCATCATCTGTAAATAGTAATAATTTACTATCGAACTCTAACTGTCACGTACGACTTGAAAAACAATGATATATTTACGTTACACCCCATTTCCACAAGTTTGTGAAGAATTTTATGGTCACCCCCGTCTAAATTTTTCGAGAGGTCTTCGTGACCGAAGCATGCCACATTACTTAAGCCACCACGTAAAAAAAAACTAACCAAAACTGATTAAAAATAGACTTCTGTACTCTGAAGGAGCCCGTAGCTTGTTTGGCGAAACGTCAGTGAGACAGGGTCAAACCCGACAAGCTCCACACCCTGCAAGTTTGTTCTGCTTTTCTAATTTCTGCACTTGTAAAAATTTATACAGCTTCAATCTCTAAACTTCAAAACCAGTTTGTACAAGTCCGGCGCCATCTTTTAGGTGGAAGTCTCAAGAAACTTGATTTTCATAATTACAAATATGGCGGTTTCTCCGTTTGTCGAAAGCACCGATAGATCCTATCAAAAATGTTTTTTTTTCTGGATGACGCCTCAAAGAAACCTAACTTCATACTGCAGACACTAGGCTTTTATTATGTGGTAAATGACATTCCAGCATATCGTTTAGTTTAATATTAGTATAAAAAGAGAAAGACAGGGAGTGAGGACAGCACAGCTTCACTAGGTGTTCTGCTATATCTCCATGGCGTCTTTCGTATAAGTATGTGTTTGTAACTTTGTGCCTTCATGGTTAACCAGTCGAGAATTTCTTGTTCTCTCTAAGATAAAATTGAACTTGCGCTTGCGCCATCCATAACTACCACTGAATTGGCTAGAACTTTAACATTTCACCAAAATAGCCTTCAAAAACGTGTGTTCGTGGTAATCTCGTATGTGGCACAAGTGGAAAGTTGGCAAAATCTTTCAAATATCCCTCTTCGCTTCCAATATGGATGATTAGTCTTATCCTTTTTCCTGATGGGTACCTTAATACCCGTTGACAGAGCTTCCAAGAAACCTGGTTATATTTTTGCCTTGCGACATTTCTGATGGAATATTTTTTTCTGCTCTCTTGGCTGCAATAGTGTATATTTTAAGACACCAAAATTGAACGGAACCAGGCGTGTTTTGTTATCATCTATTTGTCAATTCAAGCCGACAATAACTAAACTTTTCTAATATATTCGTTAGTCAAAACAAGCTGACATTCATCAAGTTTGCATGATTAAAATCATACTACAAGCTTAAAACACTTTGGTGTCAAACAATACAATAATGCCAACTTGTATAAAGTTCCTAACCTATACTGTGCGTATACACACTGATCGAAAGTAAGTGTTCATCAATAGTAACTTTGTTATAAGTAAAGATAGAAAATGATACAAAAATGAGGAAAATGTACTCTTTTTCAATGGATCACCCAGTATATTTTTTACTCTAAAATTAAAAATAACCGAATTATCAGCAGCTTTTACGCTAAACGGTTGTGAAATAAAACTCCAAGGTCCTTTTATTTTTGTTTTCGTTTTTTAGCAAAAACGGTTTCATTATTTCTAAAGATAAAGGCGCAGAACAAATTGTTCAAAGAAGGCGCTCCAAAATAATGGCAGACCTGCCAAACAGAAAACTAGTTGTTAAAAAGATTAATTTTGTTAATTAATGTGTTAATTGTTAGTATTGTTATATCAATTGTTACCAATTTTTAAAATTAATTTTACTGTATCACTTATTCAAAAATGGTTCCCCAACATGAACAATTATTTCTCCGCATTTATCGAATCTTTAGAAATAATGAAACCGTTTTTGCAAAAAGAAGAAGACTAAAAAAATTTATTATAAGTGACTCAACGTCTTGGAAGCATGTCGTGACAATTCTCTTCGAGACATAGTCAAACAATCTAACCTATCCTGTAATACTGTCAAGAGGATTAAAAAAAACATTTTTGCAGTTAAAGATTCCTACCAGTTCCGGTATATTAACTTTTGCCGCCAAAACATAAATAATTTTGGATATATTTTGTGAACTGACGAATCAAATTTTTCAAATTCTGAAATGTATAATCCAAAAAATCATCCCCGAGGTTCACAAATTCGTTGCAGCTTTAACGTTGGATGCGGTGTAATCGGTGCTCTCATGTTGGTCAAAAAGTAGACAGAAGCGCATTTTTTAACAAGATGGCGCAGCAGCTCATAACTTCCGAGGCACCTATCAATGAAATGGATTTACGCATTGGTCTCCTAGGTCACCAGATATAACCCCACTTGATTTCTACTTGTGGGGTTATGTAAAAGACCAAATTTATAGGGAAACACGTTGACGTTTTAAAGGGTGCAATAAGAGAAAAAATAAACCATATAGGTGGCAGAACGCTACTTGAGGCAATTCGCTCAATACAAAAACCTGCTCAAAAATGTATTGATTTACGATGTGCTGTTTTTGAACACCTTATAATAGTATATTATTTAACGAGCGTATTATGAAGGCCATAATAAACGAGGATGATTTATAAAACGAGCCGCTTGCGGCGAGTGTTATAATCATCTGAGTTTATTATGGTCCATAATACTCGAGTCAAATACTATACTTTATCTACAACCATCCACTTATATAGGGTACCTCACCGGAATTGAAATGTGTCATTTTATTGTGAAAAAAAACTATACATGGGAGAAACCTGAAAATTCGGTAGGAAGCTAATGCTGATGGCAGAGCAATTCAGCTAGAATATTCTCAAGATGGTGGCACTTCCGGTTAGGCCGGAAGTGGATGTTAACTTGCTTTATATGAAATGGAACATAATATCATACATTTTTAGATTCTACCATTCACTCAATATCAACACTGGTTACTGTTTATGTATGCTGTTTATGTTATATGTTTATGTGTTATGAGTTGTGATGTAATAAGGAATAAATTCAATGAAAGTCCTGGATTGAACATTTAATAAGTTTAATAATATTTAATTAACATTTACACTTCAGCACACAATTATTTTTAAATTGACGCTTAATAGGATCATTATGTATTACTCTGTCTATTTCATAAAATTGATTGTTATATTAGGGCAGTTATTGAAATTCATCGTAGTTGGTGTAGTACCAATACTAATGTCCGTGGTGTCTTTACTAATCGAAAAAGTGTTATGAGAAGATTCGCTCGTAATAGTAGACATACCTGGATATTGTGAGGGGGTAGAAACAAAAGTACTGTTATTAATATTACAATTAGGGTTGATTTGACTTAATATTTTAGTAGCTGCATCGGTCTTGTTCTTCTGCGAGTCTGCAATATAGCCTTCAGCTACAGAAGCCGACTTCCAGCCTCCGTGGCGCTTCAGAGCTGTCATACTTGCCCCTGCGTCGACATACAATGTGGCTGAAGATCGTCGTAGACAGTGCCCGGTATATCTTTCTGGGTTTTTGATTTGTAAGAAACTTGCAATTTCTCTGCCCATTTTGGCAAACTTGTTAATGCCGATAACTTGTTTTGTGCATTTTCCATTTTGAAAATTCATAAAAAAAGAATCTGATGCATTTGGCAGTCTCAGATTTGCATATTTTTTAACAATATCATGGAACTTCTCAGTAATAGTAAAATTCCTAGGGATCTTGGTCTTCGTAACGGGAACTATTACTCTAGTGCAACCTTCATAAAATGTAACGTGTTGTATTTTCATTGCATGTAGTTCATTTGAGCGGCATGCACCCATCACTCCCATAATTAATGCAACCTAAAAAATTAACACCTCTTGGTAAATACCGTAGGTATGTAACGTCTTATCATTCCTTACCTTTGTAGCCAAATATTTTGTATCAGGAGCTTCATAAATAAATTTATTTATTTCCTGTCCGGTAAATGCCTTAGATTTTTTGGGTTGATAGCCTTCTGATTGTCTTTTTAATAAAGCATGTAGCTTCGCGTAGTGGTCGATCTTGACATTGTGTTTAATATAAAGTGTGCTTTTCAGCATGGAATAAAACGTCCACAAGGAGGACGACTTATACTTTTTAGCCAATTCTTTGAAATACACTAATAATGTATCTTCAGAGAAGGAGGTGGCCTTGTTTCTTGATCGCCAATCCATGAAATTGTTGTAGGCAATTTCATAATTGTTTCTTGATTTCTTGGGAAGTAAATCCAGAGACGCAGCTTCCGCTGCCGCTCGAATTTCCGGGGGTGTTAGTACTTCGTTTTCAGAATCCATTTTTATTAAATCTTATGTTTTAATTGCAAGGCGAAATTTTAAAGCTTCTCTATATGAATATTATTTACTTTACAATTATTATTTCATGAAAGAAAATGTTTGTATTCACGATGAGCGTCGCGTCGGGTAAGCTGTCGCTATGGATACCCGCTGCGCGCTGTCAGATTTAGCCTGCACGGCCTACTAATTCTTTTTAATTATTGTCATATTGGTTTGTATTTTTTGAACTGTTTTTGAATAATAGAATTGAATTGGTAACGTGTGTATGACTTTAATATGGGTAACTTTATAGTAAATTTTCATAAAAATAATAAATGAAATGTGTGAATTCTGCGCCGATTAATTGAAGCCCGGATTATTAAGAATTCCAGAATATTTTATTACACTTGTTGTTTTATGATATAATTACACTTGTTTTTTTATGATATAATTACACTTGTTGTATTATGCGTAGCATAATACTCTCACTGTCAGAAGTATTATGCGTCTATTATTAAATGGTTGTAGATAAAATAACTTTAATAATTAATCACAAATTAATTAGGTTTTTTTAGGTTTTTTTCTATTTTATTCTTTCCATGTTTCTTATGCACAAATAGAGCAATAAAAGGAAAATGGAGTTTTATTTCGCAATCACTATAGCCGTTTAGTCTAAAAGAGAATAATGCTGATAATTCCTGTATAGATATTTTTTTTCAAATAGAAACAACTAATTTTGGTAATCTTATCTCATTTAAAAATTTGAAACGAAGAAATCCTACAAATATTCGTTATAGACCTACAACTTGATACACAATTACTATAGTATTCAATTATGAATAATATAGGAATACATAAAATGAGTGATTTTAATTTTCAGCAAAGTATTTTCCCTATTTTCCTTCAATTTAATTTTATTTGCTGTTTTTTTTTTATTTATATGTCTGTATTAGTAATTAGCTTGATAGACAGGAAGTTACAGAGAAAATGGGGGAAAAGTTTACAGATATGCCCACAAACCATTTTCAACGGAAAATATGAAATATAACAGTGAAATTTACTTATAGTATATAATATAAAATACGTTAAACATATCTAGATATAGATGTAATTTATCAAAGTTGAGCTAGTTTTGACTAGAAATCAACCAAGTTCTAGGCGCGACATCCTGTTAAAATAAGTGGTACCTAATGTAATAACTCTCCATGTCCCTATGATCAATGAAAATGCAGAGCCGAATAAACGCAACAAATCTCGTTCTCAGCGTACCGAGCAAAACCCGTATGTATAATCGACCGTTGGGCTCGAACACCCTGTAGAAATGAGAAAAGACCGAGGACGATTGCTATAACACAGGGAATAACGCAATTAGGCAATACAAACCACTTAAGCAAATATGGCTGTCTAGGGCAAACAATTGTAGTAGGTCAAGTAAAATAGTATATTATGCAACAAGTGCGGTAAACGGCATTTGACTCACTAGTTTATTTGACACGAGCGGAGCGCAGCGGAGCGAGTTTTTAGTAAACGAGTGAGTAAAAAGTTTACCGAATGTGTTGCATACTATCCTTTTTGTACGACCCTTATTTTTTGGGTACATATTCGTAAAACAACACGAATACATTCACTCACACGACCGTCAGAACTGACACACGTCAAAATTCAAAGCGTGGGAAATAACTCCGAAAACATCCGATTGCTTCCAAATCCTTGCGGTAAAATCCCGGAACTGTGGCTCCGCGGATCTCGGAAGTGGCTCGGATTCATGGGAAACCAAACTGACGTGGTAAAATGACGCTTCCCGCACGCTAGATCGGTGGTTAATTAGGTATTTTACAGATGGGAGTAGAAAAAACCATTTGTGTCGTGAGTTTTGAATTAACATTAAAAAGCTGTATATGAGTTGGTGTTGTTCATCTTGTGAAATGTTTTTGTTTTGCAGATATCAGATAAAACTACAATTAGTAGACGGTTTAAATCTATCCACCAGTATAAGTTATTTGATGTTTCCCATGGTTTTTACACTAAGAAGCAGATGAAGGCTTTTAGGAGTTTGCACGCTTATAAATACTTTGAATCTACTTTTGTTTTAAAAGTGGCATCGACTAGCTGCATCTCCAGACAAATTAGTACTTTCTTGATGCTTGAACATTCTTGAAGTCCCATATTTCCTAACAATAAATCATATTGTGGACACTGACTGGTACTTATTATAATCAAGTACAGATACAAATATTTGTATCAAAGCTGCAATGTTGCGATTTTGTTATATGGTAGCCAACAAAGAATTTTTCCGAATTGAAAAATTTGGCATAGAAAATACAAAATTCCTCTTCAGTACTTCTCCAATGCAAAGGGACTTGGCAAACTTACTCATTATTGCATTTTTAAGAGACCTCACGATGGTAGACCCATGATCCAGTGTGAGAAAGAAATATGTGGAACCAAATGGTTTTATTTTGAATATGCAAATGCATCACCAACACATCTTGGTATTGCAACTAATGTTCTGATTCAAAATAGAATTTTTAAAATAAAGTATTTTTTTTATTAAAACAACAGTTTGGTTTTATATTTCTACCTTTCAGTGAGATGTAAGTATTTCACAGTGGCTTGTTATATCTTGTGGTTAAATTTGAAAAACGGACATCATTGGACTTTTAATTTTTTTTACATAAAAAATTTTGGTCTCTGCATTAATAATGCTAATTAATATTTTCTGTTCCAAATCTTCAATTTCCTGACTGCAAAACTAAGCTGTCAAATTTTAGAGTCGGCTCATCCTTCGTTAAGTCCGTTTGAGTAGATTTTCCAGCAGGTTGATCATTGTCTTTTCCTTCACCGATTTCAGGTCAGTTCTTGTTAGCTGTTTGTTGTTTTGAATTTGCAAAAATAACTTACTCACTCGCGGTTCGAACGGTTTTCATATTTTATGTTCTTAAAAGTAATATAGTATTACTACACTAAAGAAAACGAATGCTTTTACACAATACCTACCAAGAGCTAGGAAAAGCACAATACACTTTAAAAGCAACAATTGATAAGCTTTTATTCGTTTTATGCACTTAAGCACTTTCAACGGACACAAAATAAGATTTGCTTAAAGTCTGTTCATAGATATAAGAAAGTAACCCATTGCTTTTGAATGGGATTATCCAAGGGTGGTCATTAACATACAATGCAACAAGATTATTACCCAAAGTTTCGGAATTTAAACTTAGGTAAAATTGTGGTCCGTAATAGAAAATAATTTTATACCTACCTGTGTTTAATATTCTTTGGTTTGGTATACTACTTAGTTTAAGTTTATTAGTAATCATTCCTATTTCGTGTGTAATACAGCGTGTGTTGAATCGTGTGCGAATTATGCAAAATATGGGCGAGTCTAGTGTATCTGAGGAGATGCTCCCGCCCAAATGTAGAAAACAGTATTCTATTGAGACTAAGGAAGTTATAAACAATATATATTTGACTCTCATTGAACGTGGTGCCAGCAAGCAAGCATCTTTAGAAGAAACGGCCACATTGACGAAAATTCCAACATCATTATTAGATATCTTACTTAGGAGGCTTGAAAAAGATGAAACCGGTGTTAAATGTGGCAGAACTACTTTATGAAAGTATATTCAATACATAGGTTCTAAATTTTAAAAAAATGACAAAAGGCAAGTTTTAGTGGAATCTTTTAGAATTCGAAAATGGCGACTAGAGTATCTAGAAAAAATTTGGATTTACAGAGAACAACAAAGGCCAATTATTTACTTGGATGAAACCTGGTTCGACACTTACGATACCCCTGAAAAGGGTTGGGTTGACTCAACTGATAAGTGTAAAACAAACGCGCCATCAAAAAGAGGTAAAAGAATAACTATTTTGCATGCTGGCTCTAAAGATGGTTTGATTCCAAATGGACTTTCTCTGTCTGCGAAAAATATTAAAGATTGTTCTCTGGATTACCATTAAGACACCACCGCTGATTTATTTTAAAGTTGGTTTAAAAACAAACTAGTTCCAAACATTCCTCCTAATAGCGTCATTCAAATGGACAATGCAAGTTATCACAGTAGACACTTGACTAAAACCCCTTCCTCATGTGACACAAAAGCAACAATCCAAAACTGCATGTATAATAACGACATTTATTTTCACGAAGATTATACCGAAAAAGATTATACCAAAAAATCTGGGGCATACAGTTTTAAGGCTTACCACTATATATTTAATCCCATTGAACATGTTTGGCATCAACTGAAATCTTCCCCGTCCTCAAACTTATAGAAACATCCGGCGATGATAGCGATAGTGATACTGATATATTATGTGAATAATTTTAAGTCATTTAAGTAGGTAATAAAAATAATTTGTAATTTTATTTAACATTTAAACATAAATAAATATTGTTTAATATCTTTCCTAACAAAACCCCAAATAATTAAATTCTACGCAAAGTACGGACCTGTTCGGCCATATTTCATTCTTACAGCTTGCCCGGGTCTTTCCTCAATTCGTATCAGTTAGTCACTTTCTTATATCTATGAACAGACTTTACAAAGAAACGTTATGTACTTTGTTTCTTTGCATTGGGACGTCGTATTGAACTTCGTTTGACAGGATTGCCCATACTATGCCTATATACATAGGAAAACGAACTTTTGGATAATAAAAATTCAACTTTCAGGGCATCTTCAGGTCCCGATTCGACCTCCTCCGACTCCAGCGACTCGGATCCGGAGCATCCTCGCGTGAGTCGCGTCTACAACGTCAGCGGGTCGCCCAATAGTCGGGAAAGCGACGACGCTTTGCCCAGCAGCAACGTAACCAGCGACTGCGACGAAGAAAACGAGCCCAGGTGCTCCGACGACGAGCACGAAGACGAAGAAACGTCATCGGGTTCCGCGGACACCGACAGCAACGATACCGGTACCGTGGCCGATCAGAAACCCAAACGGTTCTCCAGGGTATTCGTCGTCAACCATAAGGGATCTTCGTCGTCGAGTTCCGAAGCGGCTACGTCGTCCAACGAAGACAGCTCCGACAACGACACCGACACGGAAATGGACTGTACTGTCGTACTGACCAATATAAAACCGTTGGCCGCGGAAGAAGTCAACGGGATCGAAGAGTTGAAGTTGATCGGTGTTAAATATTTCGACGAAGACGGCGAATCGGTGGAAGCAGGCCCTTCGAGGGACAGAGAGCGCGAAACCGGTCGCAAATTCAAACACGGGAGGAGGCACGGGCCCGCCAGAACGACCAAGAGAGAGAAAGAAGATACCAGGACGAATTGTGGTGACGGTGGTGTTATCGCGCAAGTTGGTTCGTTCTTGGAACGGGAAATCGCGAGCTGTGCACAAGTGGACGTTAAAGACTGTGATAGCAGGAGGAGTGCGGAGGGCGATAACAGTGATCGTGGTGCTAGCAACGAGGTAAACGACAAGGAGGAAGACGCGCATGAAAGCGAAGAAGATACGAAAGCGGCGAACGACGGTGATGGGGAAGCGGAGGACCAAGACGACGGAAGCCAGGAGTTCGAAGACTCTCTGAATGCGATTCCGGCGGAAATGGAATGGAAATTAGCAGACGAGAAACCGTTCGAAGTTTCGCCGGGAACGGAACGAAACGAATCGAATTTTGGTGCCGCGACACCAAATGCAGGCGATCGGGCGGCCGTTGTTAAAAATACGGGCTATTCGTCGAGCCCCTGTTTATCGGACGTGAGCGCGGAGTCTTTGAGCTCCAGCGACGCGGAAAAAGACACCGGGAGTCCGGGCCCGGAGCGGGGAGGACCTCGGCGAGCGTTGGTCGGCGGCGCAGGTGTGTTAGTGAGTCGAGAAGCGTCGTCGACGGCGGACCTGGTGCACCGGTCGAAAAGTAATGCGGGCGCGCGGTACACGAGTCTAGTGATGATCACGGGTGACGACAAGGATGTCAGCTATCGGCAGCAGGTGAACGTGGTGACGTCGCACACGACTAGGGTGGTGTCGCGCGGCGGTGATGGTGACCGGGTTGTGGTGCGGCATACCAACAGGGACGACAACGAGGACGTGGAACGGGCGAAAGTCGAAGGTGAGTCGCGACCTCGGTGCGTGCGGATGGGTACGCGTGAATGGACGATTTTTTTCGACGTAGGTTCTCCTTTGTTTTCGTTCCATTGACGGTACATTTTCGTCGTCACCTGAGCGTACGATTCGGCGAGCGGCGAACTTATCGGTTTATCTGCTCGTTAAGTTGTTTACTTTGTCGTGTGAGAATACGGGGGCTCTTGGAAACGTGGAACCCAATACAAAAGTTTTCACTTTTGAGCTTGCAAAGAGTGGACACAAATATAGGTACAGGTCATCATAATACAATTGTACTATATTTACTATATTGTTATAGTTTAGATCAAGATTTAAAACGGTGAGAGTGTCATATTGTAGGGGGCTCCTGATAACGTGGAATCCAACACACAAGATTTCACTTTTGAGCTTACAAAGACTCGATACAAATATAGATACAGGTCGGCATTAAACAATACTATATTCTTATAGTTTACATTAAGGTTAAAAACGGTGGTAATATCACATTATACGTGGGCTCTTGGGCACATGAAACCCAATACAAAATATTTCACTTTTGAGCTTGCAAAGACTCGATACTAATAACTGTCTATCATTGTGTTTCACTAATATAGATACACGTGAGCATAATACAATTATACAATATTTACTCCATTTTTATAATTTAAATTAAGGTTAAAACGGTGGAAACATCATATTATACGGGGGCCCTGGGACACGTAGAGCCCAACACAAAAGATTTAAAACGCTGAGAGTGTCATATTGTACGGGGGCTCTTGGAAATATGGAACGCAACACAAAAGATTTCACTTTTGAGCTTGAAAAGATTTGATACTAATAATTGTATCTTGTAGATAGACGTAGATATAGGTCGGCATAATACAATTACATAATATTTACTATATTGTTATAATTTAGAAAAAGATTAAAAACGATGAAAAGGTCATGTTTTACGGGGGCTCTTGGAAACGCGAAACCCGACACAAAAGACTCGATACTAATAATTGAGTCGTAGATCATGGAACACCTAATCGGGTTTCTCACAAATATACAATTTTTTACTTATATGGTTGCAATTTTTTCATTAAAAGATTACTTTGTCATTTTTTTATTCTCATATTTTTCATTCCTTTTATTCTCCACGATGGTTGCCAATGTGACCCTAAAATCCTTGGGTCACCACTAATACTATATTTTTTTTACACGTTCGTAAGAGTTTATTTTATTCAAAAATTTTAAATATGAAAGCTGGTTGTACGAAAATGAATGTAATGAAAGGAATCCCTCTCTCTCTCTCTCTCCCTGTACCTACCTTCCTTATTTTAAAGTAACACTGGGTAATTTTTTTATTCCTTCCTTCCTTTTTATACCTTATACTTCTACACTTCTTATACCTTAAAGCCAAAAATATATCAAGCTTTATCATAATTAATGTTAGCCAGCTAGAACTTTTTGGTTTAATTGCCTTGTGATAGAAAATTTGACATAACAATAAACCCGTTGCATAGGTGTAGGGTGTACTGTAATATACAGGGTGCCCCACCGGGAACTTCGCATAACTATTATTGCAAAGCTATAAGTCTATAAAGCTATATTCGGAGTATGCTGTCCAATACAAAGTAGCACTTTTATTTCGAAATAAGATATGATTGAAAAAAATAAGTGTTTTCCATTTGAAAAAAATTCTTTTTCCCAGTTTTTTAATCGAAACTAGTTTTCAAATTTATTCAACAAAGTATTTTTTTCTACAGGGTACATTAGTGGCACTAAAATTCTTGTGGCAAACACTGACAGATAGTATTCGGTCTGCGAACGTCATTTTTAGGTTTGTTTAGAATAATATATATGAACCAGCCAAATCAAAAAAAGCAATAACATATAAGGTACTTTATTTAAAATGAGAAAGTTGATACCTACTTTCGGTATCTCCTACTTTAGTTAATTTACTTTAGACTTTTCAATTTGTTTCTACTCATAGTTTTCCGATAAAAGAACGAAATTTCAGGTCAAATAATTTTTGAAGCTTTCAAATGACTATATAATTAATATTTATATATAATAATAATAATAATAATAATAATAATAATAATAATAATAATTTACATAATTTTAAAATGACCAAGATATCCAAAGAATCATTGCCAGAATGGCACGGAGTATCACCATCACTGCCTTTTAGTGGTTGGTGGTAATATGACAAGTTTTTATGTAGTACTTTTCTCAGCCATTTGTACTTTTTCTGATAAGGATACCTATGAAGTTAAATCTCAAAGCAAAATTACATATATATTTGGGACTAATAAACAAATATTTATTATAAATAAGATATTTATTTTCTGCCAGATACTTATTAGTGTGCTTTCATACAAATAACTAATGATTTTTAAAGTCGATTCAAAAGCCCATTAAATGCACGTTTTTCACTATTAATCTCTATTACACAGCGTATCTAACGCGCACCATTGGCATTTTGGAAAAACATAAGATCTACGGCGTGGAGAAAAGAAATCCAAAATGTTGGGCAATCAATTGTTGCAACTAAAACGGCATTAAACCAGTAAATATCAGCTTAAAATCCTACTTTCTATGTCAAATTTTAATTTTTTCCTTTTTCTAGTCGATTCCGATAAAATTTTAGTCAAAATCGGCTTCAAGATGCAGTTTTCAGCTTAAAACCTTTCGTTCTGTGACAAATAGTTCCCTTCCCTTGTATATTTCGATAAAATTTGGGTCAAAATTGACTTTTTCGCCACTTATTGTATAGAAAACATTAAGAAGCCAGCAGATATCAACTTAAACCTCCTTTTCTTGGCCAAATAGCAGCTTTTTGTTTTTCAACTTTCCCGCCAAGTTATCCTAACTAAAACGGCATTAAACCTGCAGATATGAACTTAGAACCTTACTTGCTGCGTCATGCAGCAAACTTTTCTTTTCAATATCGATCAAATTCCTTTCAAAATCAAGTGTTTCGACACACGCATAAACTTATTAATAATTATAGTATAATATTATTTTTTATTAAGTAATAATAAATACTTCTCAACTATGAAAATTAAATGAAATACCACAAATATGATTAGTAACTGTGCTAGAATCGTATAGGTTAACGGTGAACTGTCAGGGAAAAAAAAGAAATGAGGAAAAATCGTTAAAAGTAGCAAAAGCAACGTGACATTTCACATTTCACATGTTTATATTTTAAAATTTTCTTCTTTCCATAGAATGTGTGATCTGTGTAACTGGACAAGTTTCCAGCTTGGTATATTTTCTTCTTCTGTAGGTGACGGTGTTTTTTAAGGAATGGCACATAATTATTTTTATTTTATTTTACGTTGTATTAGCATGTTGCTGTCCTATTGCATTTTTTTTCTTTTTTTTTAATTTGACGCTTATGTCCCTGTTCTGAAGTTGGGTCTATCCTGTTAAGCAGTGTATCTAGATAAATAAATAAATTAAGAAAATAAGAAATTTCAAAAAATATTTTTCAAATGTCGGGAATCATGAAGTCCTGGAAGCAACGTTAATAAAGAATTCAAAATTTCTAAAAACAAGGGAAAAATAATTTTTTATTTGTTTTAAAATATAAAATTTGAAATTAGCACGTTTTTTTTATTTACCCGAAACCATGTACCTCCGGCCTTTTTATTATTACTCTCGCCTCTATCTTGAATAACGCCATACAATATCATTATTTATTTAGAATAAGTGCCTGTTTTTAATTAGATTTTCACCAACGAAATATAATTTAAACTTTCCGTCCTAATAATACTAATCTGCTTGTGGCAATAACTTAATTAATATGCCCAACGTATTTAGTATTCCATACTTTGTAGCTTACCAGGAGGTATATATTATAATTATCTGCCGCAGTTTCTCGTTTATGGTAGATACTAGATATACATTTTTTTTTGTCGGTTTTTTCTATTTTTGTCGCAAAATAGTTTTGTGCTTTCCTGGAAATACAGAAATGAGATAAAGTGGATTTTTGTATTTTGTTGTTTACGTTTGGTTTAAATTCAATCGCAGGTAAAATTTTTATCTATCATGGCGATAAGGATAATAATGAAGAACAGTTCGGAACTGTTCAGCAACTTCTAACGTAATTTGTTATCCAACTACAACGACATTAATAGTAAAAGCATACCAACCGGAACATGAAACACGGAGGGGGCATTATAGAGCGCAAAGGTGATACTTTATCAAATAATGAACGCAATATCCCGAACCACACGGCGTGAACAACCCTTTGTAATGGACAGTAACAGCTATCTCGAAGAACGTTCTTGAAATATTTGTTTATTTTTTTTTTAATTTGTGATAGAAAACAACAAAAATTTCCTCCATCCATCCATCTTCAATGTTCCGTTTTTAGTTTTTGCTAATTATAATGAAAAATCTATTATCAGTTTTCCGACATTTATTGCACTTCCGATAAATACGTAATCTATTTTAAAAGTTGCTCTAAGCAAGCTGTAAAATTTTTGCATCGTTTCCGCTTTTGAAAAACGGGAAATCGGCAGGCGCAAATTTATAATCCATTTAAACACTTTCTCCCAAATAGAAAAACATTTAAAATTATACTGGAATCAGAATTTCTTTAAAAGGTATTAAAATCTGAGCTAAGGAAATGTTTTTTATTTTTGTTCTTTCCTTATTCCTATTTGCATTTCGGCAAAAACAAAAACATATTTTTTCTGTTGCACTTTCATGTGGTTGGCAGAAACGGACGCAAGAAGAATCCAGAACCTTATTACACAACTTCTGGATTCCTCCTGCGTCGGTTTTTGCTTAGTCGAAATTGCTGACATTTCGCCAATCATCCTGTTGTTATTGCCTACTGGACAGACACTCTTTCAATTTATTTTTCTACTCCCGTCTGTAAAATACCTAATTAATTTCGGACATTTCCGGGATTTTACCGCACGAATTTGGGAGTGATCGAATGTTTTCGGAGATATTTCCCACGCTTTGAATTTTGACGTTTGTCAATTCTGACGGTCATGTCAG